GACAAACAACTTGCGAGGACACACCGCCAATCCCCCCTCCCCGAGGACCGAACCTTGGCACGTAGCGCACGGGTCATCTCGGAGAGAGAAAGGGGAGGGAAGAGGGGGGGGATAAGGGAGCCGAGATACGCGGGAGTACCCTGGGAGTGAGAGCGCTCTCATTCATGGTCGCTAGAGACCAGGGGAAGCCACCATGGGGAACGGACACCAAGGCACTAACTTCATCACTCATTCACCCCGCGCGATCTAGCAAACCCTGGTCGATGGGTCTTAGGATCGGCGGCCAGCTTCCCACCTAGGGCAGGGAACCCCCGGCGACGCAAGTGTGGCCTACGGTAGCCACAGCTAGTACGCGATACAGGGGCTGGGGCGGGAGTGTGGGGCGCCCGCCGCCCGCGCCAAGGGGGGGAGAGAATGGAGGGGGGAGAATATGCGTGCTCGTTTTTCTTCTAAAGCAATTTTTTTCTCCTTAAAATTCCTGTGTGGTGGCGGCGTGCCGTCCTCCCATCCCTCCCTTGGGTTGTCCGTTTTCTTTCTTTTTCCCTCCTCCAACTGAGCTCGTGCTCGCCAAAAGAAGTGTGCGCTGGCACCTCAGGTTCTCAGCCCCCGCACCCACTAGATCAGAGATTCAGATCAGGTCACATCCGGCGGTTCTGGCGCCGCGGGCCCCGTCTCCTCTCGACTCCTCCCAATCATGTCAGCGTTCAGGTCGTGTCGACGACAGCGCCGCGTGCCGAGCCGCCGCCTCGCTGGACGACAGCAAGGCAACGACGGGACGGTGCCGCCCCCTTGCCATCGGCGCCACCGCCTCCCACGCGTTCGTCGCCGGGTCGTACCGCTCGACCGAGCTGAGGGCGCCGTCACCACGAAAAACCTGCTCGGCGGTGATGCCGCCCACAACGTACAACTTGCCGTCAAGCACTGCGACACCAGCCCTTGACCGAGCCTCCGCAATCGGCGCCACCATCTCCCACGCATTCAAGCCGGGGTCGTACCGCTCGACCGAGGTGAGATAGTCGGGGTCGCTTTCCGCGTAGATACGCGTCCCGCCAACAGCGTACAGCTTGCCGTCGAGCGCCGCCACGCTGGCCTGGAAGCGAGCCGGCGCCAGCGGCGCCACCGCCTCCCACGCATTCGTCGCCGGGTCGTACCGCTCCACCGAGCTGAGGTCTTCCTCGTAGGCGCCGCCCACAGCGTACAGCTTCCCATCGAGCACTGCCGCGCCAGGACTCATCCGCGCCGAAGCCATCGGCGCCACCGCCTCCCACGCATCCAGCGCCGGGTCGTACCGCTCCACCGAGCTGAGGGCGGGACCGTCGTTGCCTCCCACAACATACAGCCTGCCGTTGAGCACCGCCACGGCGTGATTCATCCGTCCCGTCCCCATCGGCGCCGCAGCCTCCCACGATTTCGTGGCCAGGTCGTACCGCTCCACCAGCGGTGAATAAGAAAAAGAAGGCGACCACCCGCCGCCGCCGACCGCGTAGAGCTTGCCGTCGAGCAGCGCCAGAGCCACAGCCTGCCGTGCCGTCGGCACCAGAGCCACAGCCTCCGCCTCCCACGCATTCGCAGATGGGTCGTACCGCTCCACCGAGCTGACGAGAGTGCCGCTGACGTCGCTGCCGCTGCCGCCGACCACGAGCAAGCTTGGCCCGCGCTTCGCCAGCGTACTTTTCCAGCCGCGGCGCCACGCGCGGCACGTCCCCTTGACGGCGTGCTCCTTGGTCGGCAGCTGGGCGAGGATGTGCGGGGCGAGGTCCGGCGAGAGGAGGACCTCGGAGAGCACCCACTCGGGCTGCTCCACGAGCCGTATGGCGTGCTCCTCCGCCACGCGCAGCGCGGCGTCGCTCGCGCCCGCCTGCGCCTCGATGATGGCGCACAGCTGCGCTGGCGAGAGGCCCGAGACGCGGGCGCCGATGCGGTGCAGGCCGGCGGACATTTGGATCCACTAATCTCTCGCAATGGCGGCTGGGTTCGGACTTTTTGCGGGGTATGGTATGGTCACCCCACCTCGAGACCATACCCCCCCCGCCTGCTGACAGACCCAGCCTCCCGGAGACCGGGGATGTGGCGGTCAGGACCATACCCCCCCACCCTTTGGGCCGTGAGGGTACCATACCAAACAAACAACATCTCACTCTCTCACCATACCATACCCCGCAAAAGTTGGAACCCTGAGTGCGAGCCCTGAGTGCGAAAGATTTTTTTTTACACCGAAAGGCGGTCGCACAAGAAAGAATTGGCAGAGGAGAGCGACGCGCGACAGAGGAAGGAGCGACAAGGGAGAGCACGACGAGAACCTGTGTGGTGGCGGCGTGCCGTCCTCGCATCCCTCCCTTGGGTTGTCTGTTTTCTTTCTTTCTTACAAGAAAGAATTTTAGCAAAGCGAATAATACAAAGGCAAAGGCAATCCCCCGCACGACACTGGGCACGCGCCGCTGCTGCAGACCATGCAGGGCGGATCGTCGGCAAAGGAGCGCGAAGCTAGCCTGAGCCCTGGTCTGACAGCCTGACAGCAAGCCCCGGACAGCGCCTGACAGTGCCCGACCGACAGCCTGACAGCGCTGACAGCACTTTCTCTGACAGTCAGACAGCACGCATCTGACAGCCTGACAGCAGAGTCTGACAGGCGAGGTGCTCCGTCGCTGTCAGGCCCTAACGTGACAGCCTGACAGCTGCCTGACAGCCCGACAGCACACAGTGGCCTGACAGCAGCTCTGACAGCCCGACAGCAGCACAGTCCTACACAGTCAGACCCCGTAGAGCCTCTTTCTTGTGCCCCATGAGGGTATAACAAAACTATTACATGCAAAGACATGTGAGTGTGGTCCATGTAGTCATGGGGTGGTCATGGGTCTCTCTCTCAACCCTCCCTCCCCACCGCTCTGCGGACCCCTCTCTAGCACCGGCAGCTGTGCTACTACAAATGAAGCTACCACAGCTAGCCTTCTGGGGCCCTACAGTCATATGCCTAGGGTGTCTGGGTGGGGGTGGCCGCCGCCGTCTGTGCCGCCGCCGCCGCCTGCGCCTGCGCCGCCATCTGCGCTCCCCAGGCGGCGGCCGCCGCCGGCGTGATCACGCCGTAGGAGGGGGGCAGCTGGGTAGCCGCCGCCGGCGTCATCGGCGTCAGCGCCCCCGCCACCGCCCGGCTCCTCTTGATAGTGTCATAAGTGTGGCTGGTGTGTTCAGGCTCTGACAGCACCCCGACTCACAGCGGACCACCCGACAGCACCTGACAGCAACAGCCCAACGTCTGACAGCAGCAGCAGCCTGACAGCTCTGACAGCTCCGACAGCGTCTGACAGCAACACCCGACAGCTCCGACAGCACCCGACAGCTACAGAGCACCTCGCCTGTCAGACACGCACCCGACAGCACCCGACAGCACTGACAGCACCTGACAGCTGGTCAGACAGAGGCCGAGCGTTTTTGATCTCTGGGTGAGTGGGGGGCCGAGCCGCCTCGGGGTGGCGGGCGGGCGGGCGTTTTGAAAAACAGAAAACAGAAAACAATAGGGGGCCCGGGGCCCGGTCCCCCCACTGGGAGTAGAAAATACGCCCAAGGGGGCCAAGGAGGCGGCGCGGGGAAGCAGCATCAGCGATCAGGTGAGAGCAGGAAGGATGGCGCTTAGGGTCGGCTTTGAACAAGGGTTTCCAGGTTTTAGATCAGTATTGGTGTCGGCACACATCCCCACATGAGGTCAGCGGCGCGCAGTGCCTCTCTCGGGCAGACTCTCGCAGGCTGATTTTGGCTGTTTTCGAGCTTGTTTTTGTTTTCAGTCTAGGGGGCCCGACCCCCTCAGAGGCGGCGGGCGGGCGCCCACTCACCCAGAGATCAAAAACGCTCGGCCAGAGGCGCGGCACCTGACAGTGCCTGACAGCTGCCCGACAGCCCGACAGATCACCTGACAGCACCTGACAGCCTGACAGCCCAGGGCTCAGAAGCTAGCGTAAATAAATAAATAAAACGGACACTCTACTAGGAGATGGGTAAAAAGGAACAGGTCCCCGCCCTGCGGTCTTTGTGCAGGGTTCTTTGTGGGTGTGGTCGGCGACTAGCCGGGGTCGTCCTCCCGATGGGGGACTAGCAATAGCCGTCTTCCACATGGTCCCTCGGGTCCCTGCTGCTCCTAATCTCGTCGTACATCCTCCTGCTGATCTCCGCAACATCCTGCTCCCTCCCTCGTCTCGTCGCCCTGCGCGTCTGCTCCGCCTCACCGTCGTCTGCTCTGCGTCGTCTGGTGACGGGTCCTCCATAGTCGGTTGAGGTCGCCGCCCTCCTCGTGCCTCTTCCCAACGTTCCCTCGGCGGCCGATGCCGTCCGCTCCGGCTCCCCAGTCCCCGGGTCTGCCCTGCTCTCTTCTGCGCTAGCTTCTGTTTCGTCATCACTGATGTCCGTCCTCTTCTTTCTCCTCTTGTTGTATATGCTTTGTACATCGCGTCGATTCCTTTTCGCGTAAGCACCAGCCTGAAGCCCGCCCAGCACGCAGCAGCTGTGAACCGCTCCCACCTCCCTAAGTCGAAGGAGCATCATCAGTCTAGAAGCTAGCGTGGTTTGAGGCAAAAAGAATTTTACAACCATTTATTCAAAGAAGAATTTTACCACCCCTCCTCGCACAACACTGCAGCTCACTGGGCACGGGACTGACGCGCACTGGCACTAACACATGTACACGACCACGTAGAAAAAGAATTCGCCCTGACATGCTTGCTTCCCCACGCCGACGCACACACCGACGCACACACGCACACACCGACGCACCCCCTATTCGGGCAAGTCTAGCGGCAAGTCTGGCGCCGCGTCCGGCGCGAGCTGCCCGAATTTCATGCGCCTGACGAGCTCGCCGCAGGCCCGAAGTCGCCCTCGAACGCCTCGCGGTCGCGCTGGCGCGCCGCGCCGTCCGGGCCGTAAGAGCCGAGCTCGATGTGGGCCCGCTCCAGCCAGCCGTAGAGGAGGGGGCGGCAGCGCTTGTAGGCGAGAACGAGATCCACCGCCTTGTATCAGCGCTGAAGGTCGCGCATGCTTGCGGGCGGGAGGCAGAGGACCGTGGTTGTGGGTTCGAATGCGGTGAGGCAGATGGTGTCGGTGTCTGGTACGGTGACGCGGGCGAGGGAGGCGCAGCCGCGGAAGGCGTGGAGGCCGATGGAGGTGAGGCCGGCGGGGAGGGTGACGGTGGTGAGGGAGGCGCAGCCGTAGAAGGCGTGGTGGCCGATGGAGATGAGGCCGGCGGGGAGGGTGATGGAGGAGAGGGCGGAGCAGCTGTGGAAGGCGTTGGTGGCAATGGAGGTGAGGCCGGCGGGGAGGAGGATGGAGGAGAGGGCGGAGCAGTCGCGGAAGGCGCCCTCGCCGATGCAGATGAGGCCGGCGGGGAGGGTGACGGTGGGGAGGGAGGAGCAGCTGATGAATGCGCCGTCGCCGATGGAGGTGAGGCCGGCGGGTAGGGTGATGCGGGCGAGGGAAGAGCAGCCGCAGAAGGCGTACTCGTCGATGGAGATGAGGCCGGCGGGGAGGGTGATGGTGGTGATCGAGGAGCAGTCGTTGAAGGCGCCTTTGCCGATAGAGGTGAGACCGGCAGGGAGGTCGATGGAGGTGAGGGCGGAGCAGCGGTTGAAGGCGCAGTAGCCGATCGAGACGAGGCTGCGCGGGCAGGCGACCGAGACGAGAGAGGTGCGGTCCTGGAACGCCTTGTCCGGCAGGTGCGTCATGCCCTCGGGCAGCACCGCGTGCCCGTCGGTGATGACGAGCTGCCAGCCGCCCACGTCCCAAGTCTCGGAGCCGGGCGGCGGCCGCGGCGTGGCGTGTTGGCGGCGGCGGCCGCCGCCGCCGCCGCCGAGCGAGCCCTCGGCTGTTGGTGAGGCCTCGACCGTGCCGACTGCGCCCGGCGTTGGCAGCGGCAGCTCCGTCGCGAGCACGACCTGGACGATGTGTTCGTCGGGGGCGGCCGTCTGCGGGCGAGCGATGGTCAGCGTCGTGCCGTGCGTCGCGCCCGGAGGAAGGGGCACGACCCAGCGCGCCCCGGTGCTGGTGTCGAGGACGAGGCGGTCGCCGGCCGTGGCGCCGCGCGGCACCGCAATGAGCATCGCAGCGCGAGAGGAGAGAGCTGTGGCTAAAAACTGATGAGAACTCCGGGGGGAGAAAAAGAATTAGTCCGCGATGTGCGGCGAGGGCGACAGCAAGAGTCGAACGGGAGGCGCCGGACTCAAAAGACACCGGCACATTCCTGAGATGCGCGAGGGCAGCCTCCTTAAAGGCAATAGGGTCCAGATTTGGAGCGCTCGCCGAAGGTCCCGAAGAGGAGTACGACAAAATAGCGCCCGTGAGATTGCCTGCACGCTGCCCGCACTCACGGACTCCATACCCGAAAGAAAGAGAGGGGAGCTCGCGGGAGAGGTGACGAGTGAACTAGGTAGTTGGGAAGGCAGCCTCGATTGCCATACAGACATGGTTGCGAAACAACGACAAGACCAAGGCACGGGCAGATTACTGATTAGAAGAATATAGGGTGGATAAAGCGCCTGTTCACGGCATGGAGGGTGAGCCACACCGAACGTACCGAGCGAAGAGCCGAGCGGAAGGAAGCCGGGGAAGACGACTCCGAGGAGGACGAACCAGTGGAAATTCAGTTGTCAGATGTCACGATGCACCCGAAGGGGACCCCAGCGCCGGCATCATCCGTGGAGGCACAAGTGTTCGAAGAGAGAGTGGACCTGAGCACTGAGCCCTGGTGTCGAGGTGTCGAGGCCCGGTGTGGAGGGTGTCGAGCTGCTGTCGAGGGGTAGAGGTGTCGAGGCCTGTCGAGGCCTGTCGAGGCCTGTCGAGGGAGGAACAGTGGAAGAAGGTGTAGCCGCCGATGGAGGTGAGGCCGGCGGGAAAGGTAATGGAGACGAGGGCGGAGCAGCCGTAGAAGGCTTGCACGCTGATGGAGGTGAGCTGGCGGGGAAGGTGACGGAGAGGAGCGAGGAGCAGTCGCGGAAGGCGCCGTCGCCGATGGAGGTGAGGCCGGCGGGGAGGGTGACGGAGGTGAGGGAGGAGCAGCCGGAGAAGGCGCTGCTGGCGATGGTGGTGAGGCCCTCCGGCACAGTGGCGTGCCCCTGCGCTGCGCGTCGATTGAAGGCCGCACCGCCCAAACGTTGAGGGGGCAGTCGAAGGAAGGTGATGGAGGAGAGGGGGGAGCACTCGTTGACCCGGAAGGAGAGAGGTAGAGAGGAAAGAGAGAGAGCAGAGAGAGAGAGAGAGAGAGGAGAGCGAGAGAGAAGAGAGAGAGAGAAGAGAGGGGGGGGGGTAGAGAGAGAGAGAGAGAGAGAGAGAGAGAGAGAGAGAGAGAGAGAGAGAGAGAGAGAGAGACGAGCTAGGAGAGAGTGGAGAGAGGAGAGAGAAATTTACAGACGGGTGCGCGATTCCTCGAACGTGCAAGCGTGGAACCACGAGCGCTGTTGCGCTGGCAAGCCAGCGCAGACAGCCCCGGAGAAAAATCAATTTGATCATTGTGCCGGTCAGTGACCGGCATACCAGAGATCAAACTGATAAGAACAGATACTACACTTGATCTTAGCCAAGAGGCCGAGAAGAGTGAAGACGCTGCCGTGGAACGGGGGCCTCTTGAAGCGGCCCGCCGCCACGTGCCTTGTGGGTGTTGTGCCCGCGCTCAGCGTCGGCCTCCCCCTCGGCCGCCGCTCCGCTCTTATCACCGCGGACACCTGGGCTCGCCGCTCGCCCGCCCTCTCTCTCGCCGCGCACCCTCGCCGCGCCCTCGGCCGGCGCGCCGCCTCGCTCCTCCTCGCTGCGGGCTCGCCCGGCGAGGCAGACAGAACGCTCGCCGTCGCCCACTCGCTCAACGGGGACCTCCACTTCACATTTCATGAAACTAAAAGGCAAGACAGTGTGCAGTCTAAATAGGGCGCATCTTAGATGCATATTATCTCAAGATGCGCATATCATCTGTAGATGGAGGGGTCGCCGCCCCTGACGTCCCAAGGTGCGAGGGCCGTGTCGCGGCTCCCTTGAACCCCATCGCCAGCACACGTGAAGCGAGCAAACATGCACCTCCCCACCCCCCACCACCCCCCACCCCCCCTATCCTCCCCTCTCGGCGTCCCCGATCCCGGAGAGCGGAGCCAGACACCTTGCGCATTCTGTGCGCCGCCCGCCGCCGCTTGGCCGCCGCAGGCGGACCGTGTGAAGGAGGCCATCCCGAAGCTCAAGATTGGGGCACGTCGCAATCTCGGACGTTGCGACTCCTCCCCCCAGGGAGACCGCATAGAGGAGAGGCCATGCGATCGCGCTTGATCCGCTTGGTCTTTTCCTCCTCGCGACACCGAGTCCAAGTATCCCGCCTGTCAAGGCCGCAAGGGTGGGTGCTGGCTGCTGCTCCGTGCGATCGGGAGACTAGGCGGCGTACAAGACGGCCAGTGAAGTCTCACTACCACTCGAGCCACAAAACGTAAACAAACCGTTTCTCAAACCCCTCGGAACGAGTACGAGAGATCCGTTCCATATGGTACATCCCGCAATCGCCATCGTTCAGGCCGTCCCACGACGCCAACCCGGCACGGGCTGCCCGAAGTCGCCCTCCGGCTTAGGCAACCCAATCGAAAAGCAGGGTGGTTACAAGATACTCGAACTCCTCGCCTTCAGTGCCACCGGCTCCCACGCGTTCGTCGCGGGATCGTACCGCTCCACTGCACCAGCGGACGAAGCGGCCGCTCGCGGCGAGGCCTCGACACGCTGCCGCATCCTCCGAAAGCCACCGCCCTCCGCGGCGCGCCTCAGCCGCTCGTTCTCATCGCGCAGCGTACGCACCTCCGGCTCGAGTGCCGCGACGTTCAGGCCGTCCCACGACAGCGCCGCGTGCCGAGCCGCCGCCGAGCCGCTGCCCAGCAGCCGCTTCGCCGCTGCTGCCCTCGCCCGGCGCCGCGTCCGGCGCGAGCTGCCCGAATTTCATGCGCCTGACGAGCTCGCCGCAGGCCCGAAGTCGCCCTCGAACGCCTCGCGATCGCGCTGGCGCGCCGCGCCGTCCGGGCCGTAAGAGCCGAGCTCGATCTGGGCCCGCTCCAGCCAGCCGTAGAGGCGGGGGCGGCAGCGCTTGTAGGCCAGAGCCCCATCCACCGCCTCGTACCAGCGCATCCTTGCGGGCGGGAGGCGGAGAATAGTGGTTGTGGGTTCGAAGGCACCGAAGCGGATGGTGGCGGTGGTTGGCACGGTGACGCGGGCGATTTTCTTGCAGCAGGAGAAGGCGTCGCTGCCGATGGAGATGAGGCCGGCGGGGAAGGTGATGGAGGCGAGGGCGGAGCAGCCGAAGAAGGCGTAGTTGTTGATGGCGGTGAGGCTGGCGGCGAAGGTGACGCGGGCGATGGAGGAGCAGTTGGCGAAGGCGTGGAAGCCGATGGAGGTGAGGCCGGCGGGGAGGGTGATGGAGCCGAGGGCGGAGCAGCGGCTGAAGGCGTAGTTTCCGATGGAGGTGAGGCCGGCGGGGAGGGTGATGGAGGCGAGGGCGGAGCAGCGGCTGAAGGCGTAGTTTCCGATGGAGGTGAGGCCGGCGGCGAGGGTGACGGAGGCGAGGGCGGAGCAGCCGGAGAAGGCGTGGTTGTCGATAGAGATGAGGCCGGCGGGGAGGGTGATGGAGGCGAGGGCGGAGCAGCGGCTGAAGGCGTAGTTTCCGATGGAGGTGAGGCCGGCGGGGAGGGTGACGGAGGCGAGGGCAGAGCAGCTGGCGAAGGCGTAGTCGTCGATAGAGATGAGGCCGGCGGGGAGGGTGATGGAGACGAGCGAGGAGCAGCCCTCGAAGGCGCTGCTGCCGATGGAGGTGAGGCCGGCGGGGAAGGTGACGGAGGTGAGGGAGGAGCAGCCCTCGAAGGCGCAGCTGCCGATGGAGGCAAGGCTGCGCGGGAAGGCGACCGAGACGAGAGAGGTTCGTTTGAGGAACGCCCGGTCCGGCAGGTGCGTCATGCCTTCGGGCAGCACCGCGTGCCCGTCGGTGATGACGAGCTGCCAGCCGCCCACGTCCAGAGTCTCGGAGCCGGGCGGCGGCCGCGGCGTGGCGTATTGGTGGCGGCGGCGGCGGCCACCGCCGCCGCCGAGCGAGCCCTCGGCTGCGAATGCGCTCGCGAACGAAGCGCCCGCTCGCGGCGAGGCCTCGACAGGCGCGCGACCTACGGCGTGAAGACACCAGTGTCGGGGTATGAAGGCGGCCCGTGCGCGTGTGCGTGTGTGCGTGTCGCGTGTGGGAGCGCGCATCTCGCGAACATGGGCGTTGGTAGGGGTCAAATTGAAGGCTGCTCGCTGCATCTAGAGCCGGAGCATTCACCCGATCCGGACCCGAGCACCAAGCCGGCGGGGCGCCGTGCGAGGAGACTGGGCCCGCGACTGGGCTGCGGCGAGCCCTCGGCTGCGATCCAACCAGCGGACGAAGCGGCTGCTCGCGGCGAGGCCTCGACCGCGCCGACCGCGCACGGCGGCGGCAGCGGCAGCTCCGTCGCGAGCACGACCTGGACGATGTGTTCGTCGGGGTCGGCCGTCTGCGGGCGAGCGATGGTCAGCGTCGTGCCGTGCGTCGCGCCCGGAGGAAGGGGCACGGCCCAGCGCGCCCCGGTGCTGGTGTCGAGGACGAGGCGGTCGCCTGCCTTGGCGCCGCGCGGCACCGCAATGAGCATCGCAGCGCGCGAGCGGAGAGAGAGCTGTCGGCGAAGGCAAGAGCCGATGAGACACGGGCAAGAAAAGCATTTTTTTGAGGTTGACTTCGTTGTTAACACGGGCAAGAAAAGCATTTTTTTTCCGATCCTTATGATGAAATTCTGCAAAAACCTGGCCGGCCCCTGCCCTGCCCCTACCTACCTACCTACCTACCTTACTTATGGGAAACTAAAAAAGAAATCACGGGATGGGTGAAGGTGGGGTACTATACCAACTAGAGTGATGGTTGGTGGTACTCTCCTGCAACCACAGTCCTTCTTGAGAGAGAGATTTTTAGCAATACCAAACAACTCTAACACTCACACGTCATTTGGGGCCTGGTTTGTTGCCTTCTTGTGACATGGCAGGCCACTCTCAAAAGCCCTACAAGCATCAGATCACCCATTTGGGGAGGGTTGACATCGTGATTTCCGCGGAAAATTTCTTTTTTGAAAATTCCAGCTTGAAGAGAGGGGAAAACCCGACGGGAGGGCCCAGACCTACCCTACCTACCCCGTCATCAGGGCCGGCCAAGCAAAAAAAGTACACACCTGAGAAAAGAAGAAAATTATTGAATTCAAACATACGGATCATACGGGTTCTGACTGAGACCTTTCAGGGTTGAAGATGAGCGCGCGAGTCACAGCGCAGGCCAGGTCTACACTGGCCGCGGCACCAGCGGTCTGCACGCTAGCGAGTGGTCCGCCCTCGCAATGAATGCGGAATACTATTACGAAAAGTACAACTAGTGCAACACAAACTAGTCCGTCTCGTAATCGCGCCAAGAGCGCGGATACACACACAAACAACAAAAACAAACGTACCCGCGGCCGCGGGCGCCTCGCTGCCATCAAGAATCACAAGGACTGGTACGCGCACCAGGAGCTCGTCAAGGCGCGGGACGCGCACGTCAAGAACAACCCGTCCCTCGGAGACAGCGCCGTCAACAACCGCGAAGCCGCGCGCTTCGTCTCCGCCTCAACGCCTTTCGCCGGCAAGGCCCTCGATGTCCGTGTCGACGGCACGTACGCCACCGCCCTCTCCTCCGACACCCTCCAGGACGAGCTCCAGCGGAAGCTCGGCCTTTGGCTCTCCGTGGCGCTTCCCACCCTTCGGGTCGCGCTCGAGCGGGGCATGCCAGTCGATTTCTTCGGCGACTACCTTTACAACAAGGCCCACCACCGGCGGCCCCACGACGGCGTCCTCGCCGCCTGGGCGGACGCGATGCGCGCCCCGGCCAACGCGCCGGTCGTGCACGGTGACAAAGAGAAACCAGAGCTCACCCGGCAGTACAACGAGGGGTACAAGGTCGACCTCGCGGAACCCCACGCTGGCCCGGGAGGATGCGATGAGGTGAATGAAGTCAAGCTCTGGACGCCCCTCCTCAAGACCTCCTCGGCGGGCGTTGGTAACGCCTCGAGCGGCGGCACGCCCGCCTCCGTTGGCCACTCCTACGCCTTCGGCAACACCGAAGAGAAGGCCCGCCGCCTAAACATGGGCTGCAAGGCGCGCGGGCAGCCCGGCCAACCCTTCTCCCACATGACCGGCCACGGCTACGTCAAGGCGCATCGCGGTTTGATCTTTGTCAAGCGCAAGAACTTCAACCTCTCCTGCTGCTCCACGAGACGTTCGGCGGCGGCTTCTCGCCCACCGCCGTTCTCAAGCTGCGCCGCCTCGCGCGCAAAGTCGCGCGCGGCAGCGTCGACCGCACGGCCTACTCGCCCAAGTACTCGCTCTCTTTTATGTCCCACCATGCAGAGCGCATCTCTCTCTCTCTGTTGTGCGAGGCGTGAACCGCGCCATTCGCTCTCACCTGGCAACCCTGTCTGCACGTCTTGCGCGCGCGTGAAGCTCCAGGCCCCAAATGACGTGTGAGTGTTAGAGTTGTTTGGTATTGCTAAAAATCTCTCTCAAACAACAGGCGCGGCTATGAATAGCTGCGCATATAGAGATAACGACTGTTCACAGTTGGGAGAGAGAGAGTCGTCTCTAACGCTCCCCCCTAGTTGCATCGGCAACTATCTCGGACGACTCGCGCGTCTTCGGCGAAGGCGGTGATGACTCACGCCTTGCCGACGGTCGCGACAAGCTTGCTCCGTCTGAACCACAGCGTGTCCCGGTCCATAGTTTTCTCTTCTTATCCGTTACCATGTAGAGCAAGGCCGAGGGCGGGCCCTTTCGGGCTCGGGCCGCCCTCTCGCCCGCACCTCTGCGGGGCTTGCACGTGGCAGCGGCGGCTCAAGATCCCAGCGATCTCGAGTTCTGCACGCTATCCACTGCGCCGCGGCTTCGCCGCGCCCATCCAAGCCCAGGGCTTGGTCTGCTGATACCCGCATCTCGCTCTGCGCATCTCTGAGGCTACCCGCGCGCCGACTGCTACGCGCGCGGCGAGAGGCGCACCCCATCGGGGACAGGATTGAGGCCCCTGTACAAGCTCGGCAACGCTGCCGCCGTTGCCCTCCCGAGCCCTCAACACGATGCCGCACATTGCGCAACCCGTTCTGCGCACATGCCGCAGGGAGGAGTTTTCACTCTTCCGTCTGAGTTTCTCCTTCCTGCAGGGCGAGAGAGACATCAGCCTCTCTACTTCCAGGGGAACATCTATGCCACACGCTATCCCTGGGACGGTCCACAACCCACACTCTCGCTGCAGTCGATCCAGCCCTCGCACTCCCCACTGGAGATCTAGCCGAGGCCCCCAGGCTGTGACAGGATTGGAGCCCCTGTGCTGCGCTGCTGCGTCTGTGGTGATATGTGGGGGACACTTTCATCTTTCTCCTCCCTATTCATGTGAGTCACTCGACTGCGTCGAGGGGGGGGACGTCTGAACCACAGCGTGTCCCGGTCCATAGTTTTCTCTTCTTATCCGTTACCATGTAGAGCAAGGCTGAGGGCGGGCCCTTTCGGGCTCGGGCCGCCCTCTCGCCCGCACCTCTGCGGGGCTTGCACGTGCTCCACAGCCGGGCAGCTTGCCCCTGGAGCGTCACAGCAAAGCCGGGGCCGCTGCTGGCGTTGAGCATGTAGTCGCGACAGGTGAAGAACATAGCTCGCGTCGCCTGCGTCTTTGGTGAAGACGTCAGCGATCATAGCAGTGCCGACGAGGGCGTCAAGCAGTCGAGGCTGTCGAGGCTGTCGATGCAGTCGAGGCTGTCGATGCAGTCGAGGCTGTCGAGGCTGTCGAGAAGGTCGAGATACGAGAAGGTCAAGAAGGCGCGAGAAGGTCGAGAAGGTCGAGCAGGTTCGAAAGCCTCGTCGTCGACGGTGGCGGTGGTTGGCAGAGAGGAAAGAGAGAGAGCAGAGAGAGAGAGAGAGAGAGGAGAGGGAGAGAGAAGAGAGAGAGAAGAGAGGGGGGGGGGTAGAGAGAGAGAGAGAGAGAGAGAGAGAGAGAGAGAGAGAGATGAGTAAGGAGAGAGTGGAGAGAGGAGAGAGAAATTTACAGACGGGTGCGCGATTCCTCGAACGTGCAAGCGTGGAACCACGAGCGCTGTTGCGCTGGCAAGCCAGCGCAGACAGCCCCGGAGAAAAATCAATTTGATCATTGTGCCGGTCAGTGACCGGCATACCAGAGATCAAACTGATAAGAACAGATACTACACTTGATCTTAGCCAAGAGGCCGAGAAGAGTGAAGACGCTGCCGTGGAACGGGGGCCTCTTGAAGCGGCCCGCCGCCACGTGCCTTGTGGGTGTTGTGCCCGCGCTCAGCGTCGGCCTCCCCCTCGGCCGCCGCTCCGCTCTTATCACCGCGGACATCTGGGCTCGCCGCTCGCCCGCCCCTCTCTCGCCGCGCACCCTCGCCGCGCCCTCGGCCGGCGCGCCGTTTCGTCTCGCTGTGTTGGCGAGCGCAGCGGACAGCAATGCCTGGTCGGCCGCCGCCGCGGCTTCCCGCCGCAGACGCGTCGACCGGCATGGCCGCCTCGCATCGACACACGGACGAGTACATGGCGCGCTTCTACGCGGCGCTCAGCCTCGACGCCGCGGACGTCGATCCGCACGCCCTTGCGCACGAGCCAGCCTTCTCGACTGCGCCCAACGCTCGGCCGCTCGGCAGCGGCGCCCGCTCCACTGGCGTCGCCGATCCTCCCCTCGGCCCGCCGCCTCTGCTTTCCGGCTCCGCCGCCCTGGCGTGGCTGGCTGGCCCCGACCGGCCACCCGTCCGCGCCCACGACGCCTCCGACCGCCCTCTGCTCTGCCTGTCTGTGTCGGGCGACAGCGCCGTGGCCGGAGGCGCCGACCACTCGCTGCACGAAGTCGACCTGTCGGGGTGCTGGAGCGAGTG